CTACAGATATGTTAGCACCCCCACCAGACTTGTTCTAGAAAATTCACCGAAGCATCATTAGCAAAAACTGGAAACGAGATAAATGTCCATCATTAAGAGTTAAGAAAACGTTGGTACCAGCGCACAAAGGAATTTTATATGACCTTTAAAAATTATGTAGCTTTGTGTGTACTGACATGGAACTCTTCGCGTTGAGTAAAATAGTGTATATGGTGTTACCATTTTGTGAAGAAAAGGAAGAGAAAGGGGGTTTACATACACACGGGTATGCTTGTCCTTACGTGGTTTTTCCGAAATGATACAAGGAACAGGGAACAGCGGCTGACTCTGGAAATGGGAACCAGGAGACCAAAGAACTGAAGAGTGGAGACTTCTTTTTTTGACACTTTTGACATACACCCTTTTTGCAGTCTTTGTGTTTTCTTACTAGTTCGTGTATTACAAACTTATCTTCTAAAAAAAATTAATAAACCAAAAAAACAAAACCAAAAACTTTAAGGAAGGCACCTTCCTGCGCGGTCGTTGTGGGTGGTTAGAGCTTCCAAGTCAGCCAGGCCACGAGTTCGAGTCCCAGGGCCTCCGCTCCCTTGCTGCGGAGCCTCGGGCGCGTCCCGTCCGCCTCTCGCGACCTGGGTGGCCCCGGCCGTGAGGTGAGGCCACCTCCCTTCCCCGGCAGCGGCTCGGGCGAGCTCGGACCACGGGGCCCGGCCGCTCCGCCCAGCGTCCCCGAGCCCGGCTCCCGCCCCGGCCCGCGCTCACCGCCAATGATGGTCCGGATGAGGGAGGCGTGCCCGGGGCAGTCGACCAGCGTGACCTGAAGCTGCGGCTCGCCGGGCTCGGGCTCGGGCTCGGCTCCGGGCGCCGCCGGGGGCGCGGGCAGCGCCGCCCGCAGGCGCGCGGGCAGAGGCACCGAGAAGCACGAGAAGCCCAAGTCGAGCGTGATGCCGCGCTCGCGGCTCTGCGGCTGCTTGTCGAAGGCGGCGGTGGAGGCCGTGGTGCTCAGCGCCCGCGCCAGCGCCGTCTTGCCGCTGTCGATGTGGCCCAGCACGCCCACGTTCACGTTCACCCGCCGCCCTGCCATGCCGCCGCCGCCGCCGCCCGCCCGACCCGCCCCTCCCGCGGCCGCCGCTGCGGTCCGGCAGGTTAAGCCGCCCCCCCGCAACCCTCGCGCCGGGCACGCCCGTTCCGGCCCCGAAGCTTCCGCCCTCTCGGCGCCCGCGGGCGCTGCCTGGCACTGGAGGAGAGAGCCCCGGGGTCGAACTTGACCGGGGTCGCCGACCGTGAGGCTGTACTCTCACCTGGCTCCTGCCCCCCGAAGCCTCGAGGAGTCCAAGATTGGGTGGATCCGTCCATCCATCCAGTCATTCATTTTAACAAGCCCTTGTCAATTGCCCCCTGGGTACCAGGCACTGCTTATTCACGGTACTGGGATACGGCGCTCTCTCCACGTTACACTGTATTTGGGCGGGGGTGGGAGTCAGACACTAAATAGGTGAGCCTGGAACCAGACCCTTTCAGAAAGTGAGAAGCCTTCCAGGGAAAATAAAAGCAGAGATTAAAAAGACTAGAGCACCAGGGGAAGGGAGGACAGCTAATTTACAATAAACGGTCAGGGAAGACCTCTCTCCAGTTGCTGACTGAGCTGAGGCTGGAATGTTGAGAAGGAGCCAGCCCTGGGAGAATCTGGGAAAGACTTAGAAGATGAAGGGCTGTCATCTTCTGACCCTGGAAGTCTATAGCCTGGCCTCAGGACAGGCTGTAGAGCTCCAAATTGTACGTAAAATGTTATGTGCATGTGCTTGTACTGGGGAGTACATAACTCTCAAGGGATGCTTGAAGTGTCTGGAACCACTAAAATGATTGTCAACCACGGTCACCAACCAGGGTTCACAAGCAGGTGTCTTCACTGGCTAGGCACCTGACTCAAGGAGAGAGATTAGCAAGACTAAAACTCTTGGACTTAAAATGCCAGCAAGTGTGGAGACTGGAGACAGGAACAGCATGTGCCGCATAGAGGAAGCCACTGTTCGCCTCCAGACAATTGGTACCAGGCAGGAATGCTAGCCCAGCATCGCCCATCTTCCCATTTTTCAAGAGAAGGGAGCATTTCTATATGGGAGCATTTCTGACTTTTTACATGTCAACAACTAATTTAGCTTTTAATTGAAACACTATGGTAGGTAGCCAAGCACAGAATCTACTCCATTCTGCCTGACCGCCAGTTTGCCATCTGTAATGAGCTAGGCCGTGCTCTGATATATTCACACTTGGCAGTAACTGCTCCCTGATGCCTCCTGTGGTCCAGGCCCTGCATTAGCAGCAACAGGGTCCCCGAGGTAAACAGACACGGTTGGTCAGTCCATCCTGCTGCACAGGGAAGAGGAGGGCATGTGTTAGGATAGCTAACACCAAGTAACTGCCACTTGAGAAAACATGTGCACAACATAGGATGAAGACGGAGGGCAGGGGTTTAGAGAAGGGCCAGATAAGACACTTTGGTCGGGCACATGACACTCACTGATGGAAAAGGTACTGCTAGGTGCTTGCACACAAAATACCCAGACAGGAAAGAAGCCGCATGGTAATCTTACTCTGAATATGTCTTTCCCAGTATAGTTTTAGTTTGAACAAATGGCCTTCTAATTTTTTTTTAATGTTTATTTATTTTTGAGAGACAGAGAGACAGAGCATGGGCGGGGGAAGGGCAGAGAAAGAGAGGGAGACACAGAATCCGAAGCAGGCTCCAGGTTCTGAGCTGTCAGCACAGAGCCCAACGCGGGGCTCGAACCCACAAACTGCGAGATCATGACCTGAGCCGAATTCAGACGCTTAACTGACTGAGCCACCCAGGTGCCTCCGAACATGTGGCCTTCTAAAATGTCGCAGGCAAAAGCTCTGGAGAGTCAATTATAGGCTGTGATACTGTGATTTATAATAAGAAATATTTTAGGGACGCATGGGTGACTCAGTCCGTTAAGTGTCTAACTCTTGGTTTTGGCTCAGGTCATGATTTCACAGATTCATGAGTTCAGCCCCGCATTGGGCTCTGTGCTGGCAGCTGGGAACCTGTTTGGGATTCTTGGTATCCCTTGCTCTCTGCCCCTCCCCCACTGGTGCTATCTCTTGTCTCTCTCAAAATAAATACATAAACTTAATAAGAAAAAGAAGTATTTATTTCATAGGGTGCCTGGGTGGCTCAGTCAGTTGAGAATCTGACTTTAGTTCAGGTCGTGATCTCAGGGTTCGTGGGTTCAAGCCCTGCGTTGGGCTCTATGCCATCAGCACAGAGTCCACCTCGGATCCTCTGTCTCCCTCTCCCTCTGCCCCTCCCCTGCTCTCTCTCTCTCTCTCTCTCTCAAAAATAAATAAACATTAAAAAATAAAAAAAGAACTATTTATCGGGTTTCCCTCCTGCGCCTGGCACAGAGCTCCAAAAACCCTTGGAACTTCCTGTGATGAGAATGAGGTGTCTTTTGTTATATTACTGAGGTGACTTTTGGAAAGCACCTAACGATGGAGGCTGGCTGCCAGGGGAGCCAACCAAGTGATTAGAGTTGGGACTTTTCACCTGACCCCTGGGGAGGGGCAAAAAGAGGAGCTGGAAATGGAATCAATCGCCAGTGGCCAATGATTTAGTCAATCATGCTTGTGTAATGATGCCTCCCTAAAATTCCAAAAGGGCGGAGTTCAGAGAACTTCCAGGTTCACTTCCGGTGAGCTCAGATAAAGCATGGAAGCCCCATGCCCCTTCCCACATAGTTTGACCTATGTATCTCTTCTTTCTGGCAGTTTCTGAGTTAAATCCCTTTTTTTTATGTGTTTATTTTTATTTTTGATAGAGAGAGAGCGTAAGCAGAGGAGGGGCAGAGAGAGAGGGAGACAAGGAATCTGAAGCAGGCCCCAGGCTCCAAGCTGTCAGCACACAGCCTGACACGGGGCTCGAACCCACAAACCATGAGATCATGACCTGAGCCGAAGTTGGACGCTTAACCAACTGAGCCACCCAGGAACCCCAATCCTTTTGTAATGAACTTGTAACCCAGTAGTAAGTTGTTTCTCTGAATTCTGTGAGCTGCTGTAGCAAATTAATCAAATTTGAGGAAGGGGTCATTGGAACTTCTGATTTAGAGCCGGTCCTCAGAAGTGTGGTGACAAACTAAACTTGCAGTTGGCTGCTGAACAGGTTGGGTGCAGTCTCATAGGACTGAGCCTTTAACATACGGAAGCTGATGCTAGCTTCAGGCACATAGTGTCAGAACGGAGTTGAATTGTAAGAGAAAACCTTACCCTTCTTCCCTCCTAGATTCTGTGGCTAACCTAATAATTAAATTGATATAAGACAGATTCACAAGTTAGCCAGGCAAATTTGGTTTTGTACCTATGAGAACTCACAAAAATATGAGACTCAAAGAAGTGATTAGAGCAGACAGCTTTTTTTATGTTTTAGATAAAGAAATAATACATTTGTGAAGAATCGACAAGAAAAAGAAGCTTGGGCTTAGCATAGCAAATTAGCGAAGAAGTAAACGAGGTTTATTTATACAGCCTTCTGGGCCCTGAATTCCCCATCTCTGGTGATAAGGATGTCTTCTACCCGGGTACCCTTCATGTGGGAAATTTATTTCCTGCTTTCAGGGAGACAAAAGAAGGCCAGCATGGTTTTATTGCACTGTGTCCTAAGTACTTTAATTCCGAATAATCCATATGCCAAAGTGACATATTTGGGGACAGCCTGCCCTGAACCTCAACCCTGTTAAAAACACGACAACCGGGGCACGTGGGTGGTGCAGTCGGTTAAGCGTCCGACTTCAGCCAGGTCACGATCTCGCGGTCCATGAGTTCGAGCCCCACATCAGGCTCTGGGCTGATGGCTCAGAGCCTGGAGCCTGTTTCCAATTCTGTGTCCCCCTCTCTCTCTGCCCCTCCCCCATTCATGCTCTGTCTCTCTCTGTCCCAAAAATAAATAAACGTTGAAAAAAAAATTAAAAAAAAAAAAAAACACGACAACCGGCCCAAAATGGAGTCACTTATGCGAAGCCCTGTGTCACCAAACTGAGCATTAACTTAGTTACAAATTTGGCTCTCCGAGAAATGGAATCTTAAAGCAGTCAATGCCTGGTGTAACTTCCTTGTTCCTGCACCCCTAGTATAGTGCATTTGAGATTCGTCCACGTGGCCACATGTCACCACATCGTGATTGCCTTCTCGTGGTTGTGTAGTATTCCACTGAGTGGACGGACCACCATTTGCTTACCCGTTCATCCACTGAAAGACAGGAAGACATTTTACTGGAGGTGAATTGGAAGTTTTGACTTTTAAATTATGCAAGAGTATAACCTATTCAATAAACAAGTAAATTTTTTTTTTTTTAATGTAAAATAATGTCAGGGCGCCTGGGTGGCTCAGTCGGTTAAGCATCCGACTCTTGGTTTTGGCTCAGATCATGATCTCATAGGCGTGATACCGAGCCCTGCGTCAGGCTCCAAGCTAAGAGTGGAGCCTATTTAAGACTCTCTCCCTCCCTCTCCCTCTTCCCCTCCCTCCCTTGCACCTGCTTCCTCTCTCTCTCTCTTAAAAATAAATTAAAAGTAAAATAATGTCCTAAAGACACCAGCGGGACTAAGATCCTTTAATTTTTAGTCCTTAGTTGGAGAGTTATAAATGCTTCTCACTGTTGCCTGTAGACGGACTTGTCACCCCGCCCCATACCCACCACGCTCCTCTCTGGCCCCCAAGAACCTGTGCAATCCTGCGAATGGACAGTGCCAATCCACCTTGCCCCACACTCACCCAACAGCTATGCCTTTGGCCTGCCACAACTTCAGGAAGCTTCCTCCTTATTATGTTCCGCACTAGTCACAGTTTGAGGAAGTAAATGACAAAAACCCTCCATGAAACTGACTGAAACAAACCAGAACAAAAAGGAAATTCACTGGCCCGTGGTATAGTTAAAAGTACAGGCCCTGGGGCGCCTGGGTGGCACAGTCGGTTAAGCGTCCGACTTCAGCCAGGTCACGATCTCGCGGTCCGTGAGTTCCAGCCCCGAGTCAGGCTCTGGGCTGATGGCTCGGAGCCTAGAGCCTGTTTCCGATTCTGTGTCTCCCTCTCTCTCTGCCCCTCCCCCGTTCATGCTCTGTCTCTCTCTGTCCCAAAAATAAATAAAAACGTTGAAAGAAAAAGAAAAAAAAATTAAAAAAAAAAAAAAGTACAGGCCCTAGCAGCTGTGTGCTCATGCTTGAATCCCACCTCCGCTGTTTGAAAGCTGCATAGTCTCAGGCAAGTTACAAAATCTCTTTGTGCCTCAGTTCCCTCATTTGTGAAGGAACTCACAGAGTTGCAAGGATTATATGAAGTGGTATTTGTGTAGCACCTAGAACAATTCCTGGTATATAATAAGTGCTGTATTATGTTTGTTGAGTTAAATAAATAAACCTAACTAAAAAGTCTAGAGGAAGAGCCCATTTTCATGTCGGCTTCACCCAGGGGCTCAGACGATGGCACAGAGCCACCAGCTTTGTTTTCCCTCCTCTGGGGTTCTTCCATTTCCAGGCACGTTCTCTCCTCATGGTGACAAGACAGCTGCCAGCACCTCTATCCTTACAGCCTCAGCAACTCCAACTCCCCACATCAGGTCTCATTGTCCCTGATAAAGTTGTGTGTCCTTGAACCAAGCAGAGTAATTAAATGCTCTGCCTAGCCAGGTGTAAGTCACGAGCTCACTCCAAGCACCAGGAGGAAAGTGGGGCAAACTCCCTATGGGAACTGGGGTGCTATCACCAACAAAATACAAATCACATCATGCCCCTCTGTTGTCAATTTTGTCTCTGCCCTGACATCAATTCCACTGAGTTGAGTTTGCTTGCCAGGCTGGTGCTCTGAAGCCAACCTTCCTCCCCCCTGCCCCCCCTACACTCCCACACCAGCATCCTAGTAGGCTGAGGATCCTTTATACATCTTTGATTGCCCAGGGCCTGACACAGGCAAATGTTCCTGTTTCTTGGACTCACCCCCAAACTTCCAGTCCACAAATACATCCTTCTCTGCGGCAGATTCCGGGGTCCCCCACAGTTTCACAGGCTGAGCATGGTCCCTGGGAAATGATTGACAGGAAACGGCCTGCAGAATTGCGATTATTTGGGATTTGTTCTTAATGTTAATGCGATGCTGGTTCCTTTCTGTTTCTTTAATGCCATTTTGTACTAAGGTAGTTCAAAGTTCTTTACAAGCAGCTAGTAATTAATTCAACTTCATTAAGGCCAATTAATCCAGGATTAATTATAAATTTGCCCAGAGGAAGTTATTATACTTTGCTCTTTGATTTAGGTTTTGGCTTCTAAAGATTCTATTAGGAGTGAAATGGAAATTTCCCTTTTCTCTGAGGGTATCTACCTTGCCAGTGATTGTGTTAACCATGTACCTTCCTCAAAATGTCCTATATTAACTTCGAATGAGACTGTCACTCAGGCCACCAGCTGTGTGCTACATGACATTGCCAGCACTAAACAGATCTTCTAATGCCACATTAGACACAGGGTGAGGAAGAGAGTGTCCTGGCAAGAACTGGTCCCACACAATTTCAAATCATAGCCCTACCTCATGCTGGCTGTGTGACTCACCCTTTCTTCTGCCTACATATGGACATAATATTTTACAAGATCATTATAGTCTATATTGGCCAGCATCCACTCCCTCTTTTCCTGAAAGCCTCCATGATTTTCCTTCTCTCCTCCAGGTCACTATGGGAACTGACTCCACTTAGTTCCAGAGTGAGACTGAGACTCAGGTCCAGTCCACCAGCCATAGCAATTGGTTGGGTAGTGAGCATGTGACCCAATTAGCACAACTGGAGAAAACCCCGGAATTGTTTCCAGGGCAAGCAATACAAAAGTGTGCTCTCTGACACTGGACTAAAACCTATAGAAATCGGTCTGGGCTATGATGGGATCCCATGAGGGGAGCCTGGCCATGGCAGAATAATGGGCCTCCAAAGATGTCCATGTCCTTTGAGTATGTGAGTATGTTATCCTGTAAGTATGTATCCTGTGAGAACCTATGAGTATGTTACCCTACATGGTAAAGAGGACTTTGCAGGTGTGATTCAGTTAAGGATCTTGAAAAGGGGAGGTTATCTTGTATTATCCTGCGGGCCTGATGAAATCACAAGAGTCCTTATCAGAGGAAAGCAGGGGGGTCAGATTCAGAGAGATGGCGTCATGAGAAAGGCCCCACTGGCCATGACTGTCTTTGAAGACGGAAGACAGACATGAAGCCGGGAATGAAGCTGGAAAAGGCAGGCAGTGGATTCTCCCCTAGATCCTCCAGAAGGGAATGAAGCCTTGCCAACACCTGGATTTTAGCCCATTAAGACCCATTTTGGACATTGGTCTCCAGAACCGTAAGAGAATAAATGTGTGTTGGCTGAAGCCACTAAGTTTGTGGCAATTTGTTACCACAGCAATAGGAAATGAATGCAAGCATTTAATTGGAGTACTGAGTCTATTTTCATATTTGTTGCATAAATGAATATCTCCTAATTCCCTCCCACCTGATTAGAGATGTAGGGGGCCTTTACTGGGCTCGCTCCACATCTTAGACCCAAGGATCACTAAGACTTACACGGTAAATAGCCTCAGTGTGTGTCTTCTGCTCAGATCTGCCACTTTCATCCAGGCCACCCTGACCTCTGCCCCCACTGCCGTGTGACCCCAGCACAGGTGCTCAGGAGCTGCAGGCCCCAGCTGCTTTCCTAGGCTAACACTGGGACTCAGCAGATGCCACCACTGCCAGGTTTCCCCATTGCAGTAGGATGTGCCCTGCTGAAATGGAAACACTGGTCCCCAGCAGAGGGGGTTACAATAGGAGACAGAGGACTAGCTCTTGCTAACCTGACCCCTGTCCCCAGCTTGACTTCCGCCTCTACTCTCCACAGCAGTTCCTGTGAGTGCCCTGGGGTACTGTTTCAGCTGAAAAAGCATGACAAAATTATTCACTAAGGCCAGGATACACACAGAGAAGGCAAATATCCAAGGGTGGGGCGGAAAGCCATGCCTCTATATTCCAAGGATCTGATACCACTTTCTGTGCCCTTCCCAATGCTAGAGCCCCTTGTAAAAGATCTCATTTAATTTTCTTAGTAATCTCATACATGCATGTTGTTACTGCTGTTTTACAGCATGGGGAAGTAGACCTAGAGAGATAACTTGCTCAGAAAACGTCGGGATTTGAATCCAGATCATCCACGCAGGATCCTTCTGTTCCCTGCCAGCTGATCCTTGTTTTATGTTAGGTTCCTTTAACCCCAATGATGTGCACCATCTTCATAATTTATGTCCTATCCAGGTACCACCTACCACTTAATATGTTTCTTTAAATTAACCCACCTTTTGACTTAAATAAAAGTATTTTCCTGTATGTAGAAAAACTGTCACTTGCAACAAGTACACAGGAACCACACAAACCTTAGTTTCAGAGTCTTTAGGGAGAGAAAGGGGTTAAAGTTACACTCTGCCCCCCTAAGACTTATTGAGAGAGAATTTGAAGGGCATTCATGTTCTTACTATAAAAATCAATATTATTTAGTTTTATGTCTTTGTACCACCTCTAAGTTGCCAGCAAAATTCTCTTTGTCTGCTCTGTCCTCAGAAATCAGCCTAGGGCAGAAAAAACAAGCATGCCAATTAGGTTGGCAATAATCAGAGAGGTGTGTAATTCCAAATGTAGGTGAGGATGTGGAAACCCAAGATCACTGAATAAGCCAATTAGTTTTTAAAAAGAGATTCCCTCAACAGGGTATTTCTTTGACTTATTGCTGATTGGCTGGGATCTTGGGACCATGGCTCTGAAGTGCACTCCACATGTTGGGAATTATTCTGCTTATAATAAGCATAGTAGGCTCCTTGGTGTGACATACTCTCTCAAAAGCTTTAAATGCACATTCCCAGCCATTGATCACCATGCAAATGATCTCCCTAAGACTAGAGTGTCAGAAAAGGAATGAAGAGAACGATTAACTTCAAGAATGCAAACCTCACTTTGTGACCTGTGAATACCACAAAATTCAACAAAAAACGGAGGATTCTAGAGCAACCGCTGGGAGGAGTGCTGATGCCTTACATTTTGATCACATCCTTCAGTTTGGCTGAGAGTCTGATCAAAAGGGGGGCATTGTTAAAAACAAGAAACTAAGCTCAAAATGGACTCACTTATGCTAAGCCCCACCTCACCAAACCAAGACTTAATTAGCGTTGGTTCTCCAAGAAATGGAATCTTAAACCTTATCAGGAATCGTCTGATCAGCACTAGATAATCTGCCTGATAGACCCTGCATCCCCTAAAGGAAAGGAACCTTGTAATAACCAACCCACTTCTTTTGTCTAGTGGGACTTTATTTCTGCCCCCTTTCATTTTGTGTGGCTCCTTGGAGATCCTTTCTGCTCATTGGATGCTGCCTGATTCGTGAATTGTTGAATATAGCCAATAACATCTTTAAAATTTACTCCGTTGAATTTTGTTTTTTAAGCTTGCAAAGGATATCAAAAGATATGGATCAACTGCCAGATGAAGAGATACATAGGTCAAGGTATGGGGAAAGAGCCTGAAGCCTAAGCACATCATACTCCCCAAATCGTCACGTGTTCATCAAGTTCTCTGAATCCTTTTGGGTTTTTTTGGAGGCTTCATTACATGGGCACGATTGTTTAATCACTGGTCATTGGCAACTGATCTAACCTCCAGCCCCTCTCATCTCCCTGGCGACCAGGGGAATGGGACTGAAAGTTCCAACCCTTTAAATACTTGGCTGTTCTCTTGGTAGCCAGCCTCCATCTTAAGGTGCCGTCCAAAAGCCACCTTATTAACGTCATAGACCTCCAGCTTCCATCACTTAGGAAATACCAAGGGCTTTAGGAGCTCGATGCCAGAAATAGCACAGAGACCTGTTAAAAAACAAAATTCATTTGACGATCTAATTGGCTTCATTTAATGATTCATGAATTGAGAAGCATCCCATCTTAGCAGATAGAAGGGAGCTCTGGGGAGCTGTACAAAATGGAAGGCTTTTATAGGAAGAAGGGGGGGGGAGAAAAAGGAAGTTTCTAGCAAAGAGTGGATTGTTTGAGGCCAGGTCTCCTTCCTCTGCAGGAAGGCAGGGGTCTATTAGGCAGATTACCTCACTAGTGCTGACCAGATAATTCCAGATGGACTGGTTAAAGTCATATTTCCGGAAGGTGTTGAAACTATAGTCAGGTTAGGAATTAAGTCTTGTTTGCTGCCATGGGTCTTAGCACAAGTGACTCCATTTTAGGTCTCTTGTTTCTTTTTTAACAGACCAAATATGTATTTCTTATTATAAAACACAGTATCACAGCTCCTGTGGATAATGCTGCTATGAAAACTGGTGTGTAGCTAGCTCCTAAGTCCTGTTTCCAGTTCTTTGGAGTATATACTCAGAGTGGGATTGCTGGGTCACATGGAAAATCTGTTTAACTTTCTGAGGAGAAACTGTTTTCCACAGCAGCTGCACTATTATACGCTCTCATCAGCAATGCACGATGGTTCCATTATCTCCACATCTTGGCCAATACTTGTTATTTTGGGTTTTTCTTTCCCTTGCCTTCCCTTTCCTTCCCTTCCCCTTCCTTCCTTCCTTCCTTCCTTCCTTCCTTCCTTTCCCTTTCCTTCCATCCTTCCTTCTTCGTTCCCCCTTTCTTCCTTCCTTCCCTCCTCTACTCCTTCTTCCTCTCCTTCCTCTCCCTCCTCCCTTCTTCTCCTTCTTCTCCTTCTTCTTCTTCTCTCTTTCTCCTTATTCTTCCTTAAGTCCACCCTACTGGGTGTGAAATAGTATCTCAGTGCAGTTTTGATTTATATTTCCCTGATGACGAATGATGTTGAGTATCACTTCATGTGCTAGTTGGCTATTTGTACATCTTCTTTGGAGAAATGTCTATCAAGTCCTTTGCTCATTTTTTAATGGGTTGTTTATTTTTTTGTGTGTTGAGCTGTAGGAGCTCTTAGAATTTGCTAGACATCAAATCCTCATCAGATACATGATTTGTAAATATTTTCTCCCATTTTGTGCATTATTATTTCATTCTGTTGAGAGATAGAGTCTTTTGATGCACAAAAGTTTTAAATTTTGACTGAGTTCAACTTATCTGTTTTTTTCTTTAGTTGCTTAAATATGGTACCATATTTAAGAAACCATCACCAAATTCAAGATTATGAAGATTTACCCCTATGTTTTCTCTTAAGAGTTTTATAGGTCCTCAACACAGGT